GCACTTCGGTGGGGGTGGGACCATGGGCGCAGGTGGGGGGGTTGTGCTCAGGGGTGCAGCTGGGGGTCCTGTGCCTGTTGGTGCAGCTGGGGGTGTCCTGAGCCCATGTGGGGGGGGGTGTCCTGGGCCCATGCATGCACTTGGGTGGGGGCAGGGCACGTGGGTGTGCCTTGGGGGGGGCTGGCCCCATGGGTGCCATTGGGTGGTTGCTGGGTCCATGCCTGCACTTCTGTGGGACCTTGGCCCGTGAGTGCAGTTGGTGGGGGTGCTGCCCGTGGGTGCAATTGTGTAGGGGCTGAGCCCTGGGATGTGCTTTGGGGAGGCTGTGTCCTTGGGGGTACTTTGAGGGAGGCTTGGCCTGTGGGTGTACTTTGGTGGGGACTGGGCCTGTGGGTGCAGTTGGAGGTGGGCTTAGCCTGAAGGTGCAGTTGGGTAGGGCCTGGTCCTATGGGTGTACTTTGGGGTGGGACTGGTCTCATGGGGTACTTCAGTGGGGGCTGGGCCTATTGGGATACTTTGATGGGGACTGGCCCGTGGGTACAGTTCGATGGGGCCTGGGCCTGTGGGTGCACTTTGGTGGGGGCTGGGTTAAAACTAGAGATATAAATTTGGGGGTCATTATCATACAGGAGGTCTTTGAAGCTATGAGACTAAATGACACCAAAGTCAGAGGTAAGGTCCGCTGGGGTGGGGGGAGGCCCCAATAGTCATCCTCAACCCCTCCAGTCCTCTTATCAGGTTCTTGACTCCATCACAGGAAAGAATTCAAGAGCAGACTCATGGTAGAAAGTGAGAACTAATTTAACAGAGCAAAGAAGAAATAGACGTTCCACAGGGAGAGTGCAGCCTAGCTCCAGAGACTGAGCCGGGCCCACACCAAGTGTAACACAAAAGTAAGTCAGTGCAGACATCAAGTCTAACTCAAAACCAAGAAATACATCAATTCAATACAAAGCACAGGCTGGCTCAAGAGACTGAGCAGCCACCTGCTGAAGGTAAGTTCCGTACAAATTAAAGCCCACACCCCCCAGCCAGGGACGACGCGCAGGTTGCTTCCAGGAGAGGAAGCAACAACCCTGCCTTCAGCTGGGATTCGGCATCCAGAGTTTCTTTACCTAAGGAATATTAAGTCAAGGGGATGGCTCCTAGCGATGGAACATTAGTCTTTGACATGCTGAGTCTGTTTCTTCCTGGAGCATGTTCGTTGGTCAGACCCTATGGCATGCACCGGGCACATTCAAGAATGCCTGTGCTCTCTCCTGAGCATGTCCAGCCACTGGATTTGCATAAGCCAGCACCTTGTGGTCTCATTTTCCCCATGTTGGTGCTAAAAATAAGTCTAACTGGCAACTGTAACTTTCCTCCAGGGAAGAACCCAGAGAAATAAGTCTAACTGGCAACGCCACTGGATTTGCATAAGCCAGCACCTTGTGGTCTCATTTTCCCCATGTTGGTGCTAAAAATAAGTCTAACTGGCAACTGTAACTTTCCTCCAGGGAAGAACCCAGAGGAGGGGGCCTGAGACTTTAGGGAGTGGCTGGAAAGCCAGAGGTGGGTCATGAAACCCAAACCCAGGGAAACTGAACACCTCCTGTGTCAACATCATCGAATGGTGACTGTGAATGTAAAAGAGAAGTCCCAGGACAAAAGCCAGGTGAAAGAAGGTGAGTAGGGATGCCTACAGTGGGGTGACATCTGAGTTGGATCTTCAGAATTGCATAGAATTTGATCAGTAAGTGATGAAAGACGACGTGTTAGAAAAATGAAAATAACAGAACAAAGTTTTGTGTGCAGTTAGATGGGGTCTAGGCCTGTGGGTGCATTGGGGGGCGCTGGGCCTGTGGGTGTAGTTGGGTGTGGTCTGGGCCGGTGCAAGCAGGTGGTGGGGGCTGGGCTTGTGGGTGCAGTTGTGGGGTTTGGTTCGTGGGTATACTTTTGGAGTCCTGGACCCATGGGTCCACTTTTGGAGGTATGGGTTCTTGGGTACAGTTTGGTGGGGGCTGGGCCTGTGCGTGTGGTTCTGTGTCTGTGGGTGCAGTTGGGTCGCAGCTGGGCCCATGTGTGCACTTTTCTGAGGGCTCGGCCGGTGGTTGCAGTTGTGGGAGGCTGGGCTGGTGGTAGTGCTTTAATGGGGGCTGGGCCCGTGTGTGTGCTTTGAGGGAGACTTGACATGTGGGTACAGCTGGGGGGGGTGGATCTGCGGGTGCTGTTGTTGAGGTCTGGACTGGCGGGTGCCCCTTTGTGGGGACTGGGCACGTGGGTAGAGTTAGGTAGGAGGTGATCCCCTGCGTGCACTTGGGTGGGGCTTGGGCGCATGGATGTGCTTTGGGGGGGTGCTGACCCCGTGGATGCCATTGGGTAGGCAGGCCCATGGGTGCTTTTAGGTAGGGCTTAGGCCCGTGGGTGCTGTTTGGGGTGTTGGGGGTGGGGTCTGGGTCCTTGGGTATACTTTTGGGGTGCTGGGCCTGTGGGGGGTACCTTGGGGGGTTGCTGGTCCTAATGGTGCTTTTGGGGGAGGGCTGTGCCAGAGGGTTCTGTGCCCGTGGGTGCTGTTGGGACTGGCTGGCCTGTAGGTGCAGTTGGGTGGGAGCTGGGCCCGTGGGTGCACTTTGGTAGGCATGGGACCATGCGTGCAGTTGGGGTGGTGGGCTCAAGGTTGCAGCTGGGGGGAGCTGGGCCTGTGGGTGCAGGTGGGGGGGCTTGGGCCTAGGGCTGCAGCTAGGGGTGTCCTGGGCCCATGGGGGCATGGTGCATGGGTGTGCTTTAGGGGGCCTGGCCCAGTGGGTGCAGTTATGTGGTTCCTTGGCCCGTGGGTGCAGTTATGTGGTTCCTTGGCCCGTGGGTGCAGTTATGTGGTTCTTTGGCCCGTGGGTGCAGTTTGGTCAGGACAGAGCTCATGGGTGTACTTTTGGAAGCCAGGCCCATGGGTGCACTTTTTGGGGTACTGGGCCTGTGGGTGCAGTTGGGCAGTACTGGACACTTGGGTGCAGTTGGTGGGCCTAGGCCAGTGCATGCAGTTGGATGGGGGCTGGACTTGTGGGTGCAGGTAGGTGAGGGCTGGGCCCATGGGTGCACTTTTTGGGGTGCTGGGCCCATGGGTGCAGTTGGCGGGGGCTGGGCTCCTGGCTGCACTTCTGTGGGGGCTTGGCCCATGGGTAGGTATATATACATTAGGTATATAAGCATTATATATATAGTTATAAACACTGTGTGTTTGTTTAATGTGTGTGTATTTGATACAATCCATTTTACAGATGAGAGCAGCTGCAAACCAGCCCAGATTTTTCTCAGTCACTGACTTCCTACTTCATTATACCACCTGTTCAACATTTGCAGAGAATCATCTGTGCTTATGGATGTTAATCCCTGAATGAGATATATTATGTGCTAAAATATAAGGAAAACAATCACCTCCCAAATAAAGCAAAACTCCATTCTTAGTGAAAAAGTTTAAAAAGTAAATAATAAGAAAAGAAGCATTTGGACCAAATTGTATATATAAACTAAAGTTGAGTGATCCAATGTCTATTCATTTATTGTGTTAACTACCTACCCATTTTAAATCATATGCAAGGATATTTCAAAAAGTTCATGGAAAATGAAATTAAAAGATAATACAAATCTTTCCGTGAACTTTTCGAAGTACCCTCATATATATATATATAAAAAAAAGTTAATTTGAAATATGTTCTAATATCTTATTGCATAAAAGAACTATATTCAAACTCTTCTCACATCTGAGCCACATTTTGAGTGATCTGACATCTTATATATATATATAAAAGTTAATTTGAAATATGTTCTAATATCTTATTGTATAAAAGAACTATATTCAAACTCTTCTCACATCTGAGCCACATTTTGAGTGATCTGACATCTTGCTACTCAAAGTATCATCCCAGGACCAATCTTGGAATCCCCAGGAACTTGTTAGAAATACAGAATCTCAGACCCCATCCCAGACCTACTGAATCAGAATCTGCATTGTTACAAGATCCCCTGATGATTCCTGTGGTTAAGTAGCACTGATCTAACATAGTGACCTTTTACTTAAATAAGTGACAGTAAGATCTCTAGCCACAAGTAGCCAATCCCATAACTTTAGTAAAATTGTTTTTTTTTTTTCCTTTACCCTACGGATAGATATTCCTGACCACCACAGTCACTATTCACTGTTCTGCCTTTTAAAGTGATCTTTAAATGGCTTGTTTGCAGCATCCACTAATTACTATTAGGAGCTCATACTGAGAGGAATGACTAGGTCTGGGTTCAATGTTTTTGCCTCCTTTTATACCAATGTGCCAGGTGCCTTCTGCATACATCCCCTACTAGCACTGATTGTGAAAGTTCCAGAGAGCGGTGAATCTGAACTCTAGCTAGCTGCACCTATGCAGTATCAAAAAAATACCACTTTCCCGACTACATTCCAAAGTGATTGTATCACACTCTCCAAGGAAAGGCCCGGATAACCATAGTTAAAGGAAATAAAGTGATTCTGGTGCAGCTTCAGCTGCATGGTAGAATCATGGGAAGGACACACCAATGTCCAGGGGACCCACCAATGTTCAGGCTGCACCCCAGACCAAATCCATCAGGTTCTCTGGGGAAGAGCCTGAGTAGAGCATCCATCATTTAAAAACAAAGCAAAACTCCCCAGATAATTCTAATCTGCAGCTAAGGTGAACAACAAGGAGCTATTTGTTATTCGAAATAAAATAAGAAAATGAGCTTTCTGAAATATGAGATACTTTGGAAAGACTTGAAAGTAAGATGTCTCCCTGAGATGAGGAGAACAGGGAAAAAATTGCCTGATATTTAGACATATATGAGAGATGGTTGCATGTACCCAGAAAAATCTCTGGAATCAAACGAAGATCTTACCTCTCCTTGGGGAACCAGGGAAGTTAGGAGGACTTTTTCTTTTTAATTTCTATCCTCCTTTCTACTGAAAGTTTTAACCGCAAGCATGATTGTTCTTTAATCATAAAAAGTAAAGGAGAGAAAGGTCACCTTGAGCCAGTGAGATGCTCTGGAATTTTCTCCACTCATCCCTGTCACCTGCAGCTTACCCTTCTTTGCCAACTCCTGAGCCTTGGCTCTTCCCACGAACAACTCCATGATTCTAACAATTCTGCCACCTCTTCTCCTACTGCCTCTTAAACACCTGGCAACTAGCATCACATCTCCATTCCTTAATTCCCACATGAGATATTGATAATTGCCACCTCTTTGGTTGCAACTTCCAGCATGGCCTCCGAGGCTGGGTCTTTTTACAAACAGCATATCAAAGTTGATCTATTGAAATCTGGACCATTATGGACCAGCGATGAATAATTTTGAACACAGTACTTTCTCTGTTTTTCATCGAGACAGTCCATGTGTTCAGCTTTCTGTCTGGGTCTTTGGCATCTTTCTTGGATAATGATATCAGTGGCAGAAGTCCCACAGAGCATTATCGTCAAAGCACTCATTTGGCACACACTTTGTGCATTTGCTCATTCATTCATTCATTCACTCACTCACTCATTTACACACCTTCACAGAGCATGTTCTCTGGGGCTGGCATAAGCCAAGTGCTTGGGCCACAAAGCTAAGACACAATCTCTAACCTCGAAGAGCTTCCTAACTAGTAAGGAATTCAGACAACCAAACTGTAATAGTCTGTTTTTCTGTCACTTATAATACCTGAAACTGGGTAATTTATAAAGAAAAGAAATCTATTTCTTACAGCTTTGGAGGCTAGAAAGTTCAAGGTCAAGCTGCACATCTGGCAAAGGCCTTCTTGGCAGGGACTCTCTGTAGAGTCCCGAGGCAGTGCAGGGCATCACATGGCAACAGTGTGTGTTAATATGCTCACTTGTTCTTATAAAGCCACCAGTGCCCTTTCTGTGATAACCCACCCATCCATTAACCCATTAATCTATTAATCCATGAATGAATTAATCCATTCAGAAGGCATAGCCCTCACGATCTACTCAACTCCCCAAAGCCCCACCTCTCAACACTGCCACATTGGGGACAAAGCTTCCACATGAGCTTTGAGGGGACATATAATTATGCAGACCACAGCATAATTATACTAAAGGGTGATTGACAAGGAGAGAAGGAAACATAAGCTAAATTTCACCAATTACTGGCTGGCTGATCTCCGGAAATCTACTTAACTTCTCTGTGCCTCAGGTTTCTTGTCAAGAAAATAGAATCATTAAAAGCACCTGCCATGAGGGTTGTAATGAGTACTAAAAGAGTTATTATTTGTAAAGTGTTGTGTACTGTGCTTGGCACATGTAAGTGTTTGCTCAACATAATAGATCAAAAGCTGCTATGAACAGAACAGAAAATACAAAAATAAATCCATGAGCATATTATCAGTTAATTTTTGGCAGTGGTGCAAAGGCCTTGAGTGAAGAAAGTATTGTCTTTTCAACAAATGCTGTTGGAACAGTTGGTCATCCGTATACAAAAACAGGGGACTGGACCTATACCTCATACTATATACAAAACCTAAATCAGAGTAGATATACATGTAAATGTAAAATCCAAAATTATAAAACTAGAAGAGAACTTATGAGAAAAATTTTTATGACCTAGTATTGGGCAACTATTGCTTATACAGGACCCAAAAAGTACAAATCATAAAAGAAAAAAAAAATTGATAAATTGGATTTCATCAAAATTGAAAACTTCTGTTCTTTGAAAGACTATTAAGAGAATGAAAAAACAAGCCACAGCTAGGAGAAAACTTTTTGCAAATCACACATCTAATAAAGGATTTGTACCCAGAATATATAAAGAGGTCTCAAAACTCAATAAGAAAAACCACCAAATTAAAAAGGTGGCAAAAAATTTGAATAAACAATAAAGAAATAAGGATGGCAAATAAGTGCACTAAAAATGTTCAACATCATTAGAGAAATTCAAATTCAAACAGCATTGTAGTACCACTACACACTGATTAAAGTGGCTTAAAACAAAACCATTGACAATTTTAAGTAGTGGCAGAGATATGAAGTGGTTGGCACTTTCCGACACTGCTAGCGGGAAGGCAGAAGAGCACATGCACTTTGGAAAACAGTTTAGCAGCTTATTACATAATACACGCACCTACCATGTGACCTAGCCGTCCCACTCCTAGTGTTTACTCAGGAAAGACAAAAAATGTATGTCCCCATGAAACACTGTGTGCAAATGTTTATAGCAGGGTTATCCATAATCTCCAAAAACTTAAAGCAGCCAAAATATTAGTCAACTGGCAAGTGGATACACAGTCCCACTCCTAGTGTTTACTCAGGAAAGACAAAAAATGTATGTCCCCATGAAACACTGTGTGCAAATGTTTATAGCAGGTTTATCCATAATCTCCAAAAACTTAAAGCAGCCAAAATATTAGTCAACTGGCAAGTGGATACAGAAGCTGTGGTATGTCACACAATGGAAGAAAAAGCAACAAAAAGAACAAACTACTGATACTTTCAAATCCTAAAAGCATGAAATGAAAGACATCAGACACAAAATACCACATCCTGCTATATGATTCCATTTATGTAACATTCTGGAACAGAAATCTGAACAGGGATTGTCAGAGCAGGTGGTGTGGGAAGGAACGGGGTTGACTGCAGATGGTTGTAAAGGGATAGTCAGAGGTAACAAGAGTGTCCTTTATCATGGTTATGGTGGTGATTATGTGACTATATACATTTGTCAAAAATCTTAGAACTGCAAAGGGTAAATTTTACTGTATGTAAATTATACCTCAATAGACCAGACATAAAATACTTATAAAAGCAATACATGCTTCTTGTAAAAAATTAAAATATGTGGTAAAAATTAAAATGTTCACTGTTAACTGTGCATGTATCTCTAGTTTGTTTTTGTTATGGTTACACGAAATTTGCCAAAACAAATAGAATTAACCATATAAACAGTGAATTTTGCTGTTTGTAAGTTACACCTCCATACATCTGACTTTAGAAAAATAAAAGAATGCTCTACTGAAAACTAAAGAAAACAGAAATCACCTCAGGAGATTTAGCAACTGGATAGGAGGTTTGCATTTCACTAAAACCTGGATAACTGCTCGTGGTTGGAAACTTACAATTTAAATCCCATGGACAAAGCCATGGAAAATCCACAGATAATTTTTGTCTTACTTTGAAATATTTTATATGGCTTTTTAAGAAACATGTTTTTGGCCTAATTGTGTCATGCTTAGGCTGATATTAGCATTTCCTGAGCAGGACTGACTAGAAAAGTGGTGGAAGAGGAAGGTAGTAAAATAGGCAATATTTTACCAGGATTGGGAAAAAAAAAAGAAAAAAAAAAGCTGTCTGAGGGTGTCAGAAAGGCTTCCAGGAGGTGATGATGCTTGAGCTGGGTTTTGAAAGTGGAAGTTTTTATCTTTTAGGAATTGTTATTTGGTGGTGGTTCTTGCTATATCTGAAATTCACTCAACTAAATATATATTGAGCACTCACTCCATGTAAAACATGGTACTAGGGCATGTTTTGTCTGCCTTGGCACAT